ATAGCTTACTTCAGCACAGAAAACAGGAAACAGGGTTTTTTTTGCAAAGAAAAACATAAATAGAACCAATCATATTTTACTATTATTATCATCTTTATAATGTATCTCAGCAAACATTACCGTCACCTAAACACCCCTTCAGGCTAAGAAATATGAAACATTTATCCCATGCATGCAACCTTTTTTCAAAAATCTGATCTTACAAAATCTAGGGGACATGAAAGGACAGAAAGAGAAACCACGCCCCCAGAGACTAGCAGACAACATCTACGGGGGCCTGACATTTCTCCATGCCTTTGTCCAGGCTCCCAGCCACCACCCGTCCTTCTCAAGACCCCAGATCTTCCCAACGTCACTCAGAATGTTGTTCACCACCACCTCAACAGGAAGGACTTACGAATGGAAACCTGACACCGTGCATTCCACATGTAGTAAAGTAGTACTAAGCTAACTAGAAAAAGTGTCTCAAAATCAAAGTCCCAGTGAGTTTGAAAGGCACCGTAAGATCACTCCGCGTAACTCAAGTGGGAAAGGTAAGGGATACCCAGAGCTTCACCCACCCACTTGTAGACTTCTATATTGAAGGGACACTGAAGCAAGAAATGGTCAATCATCTCCTCCACCCCACCACACTCCACTCTTGGACAACCACGGTTCTCTGCAAAGCGATGCTTCAGGTTGCCCTTCACATAGAGTCTGCCATGGAACAAGAGCCAGGCCAAATCCCAAAACTTTAAAGGGATTCTCTCCAGATTCATCAAATGCAGACCCTCCCTCATAACTGGACTTGGGCAATGCCTCAAGGCCAATGGCTCGCTAAAAGCAGATTCAACAACCGTCCTCTTCAGGGCCTTCCTAGTAAGAGAATTAATTTCTTCCGCCGTCACTCGCCATTGCCGAAGAATTTTCAGGCACGGGGCAACATAAGCAGGAAGCTTACCATGTTGGACCCTCAGTCTTTTCACTGGCCCACCATTCTCCCAGTTACACAGAAAAGACCTAAACCAGGACTGAAAAATACCAACCCACCCAAATGCTTCCTCTGCCAGCATGCTACTAAAATTATGTTTCAAAAACATCAGAGAAAAGAAAACCACCGGGTTGACCATACCTAGGCCACCCACCTGCCTGGGAAGGTAGGTTACAGACCTCTTAATGAGGTTTAGTCTGTTCCCCCATAACAGCTGGAAGAAACAACTGTAGATCTTCACAGAGAGAGACTGGCAAAACACAGACAAAGCTGACGTACAGAAATACCGGGATCAGGTAAGTTTTAATCAGGTCAATCCTTTCCCTGTAAGAGTTTACAATCCTTCCAGCTGGCAACCTTGGCATCGGCATCTTGTAGCCTGCTTACCCAATTTGCAAGGCCGTAAACACCAGGACCAATTCTAATGCCTAAAACTTTAATTTCCTGCCGGGGCTCTAGGAGGGCATCTGGAAGAGTAAAGCCTTCGCCCTCCTCTCCCATCCAGAAAACCTCACTCTTATCCTGATTGATCTTTGAGCCAGATGCCTCAGCATACTGTTCCATCACTGAGACCACCTCCTCCACCTCCTGCGTCTCAGAGATGAAAACAAACACGTCATCAGCATAGGCCATGACCCTCAGAGGGGGTTCCCCAGGAATGCCCAAAGGAACTCCACACAACGGTCCGCTCTCTAACCTCTGAATGAAGGGATCGATTGAGAACGCGTATAGCAGAGTACTCAAAGGGCACCCCTGATGCACACCTGAGCAAACCCCAAAGGGCAGTCCAATCTAACCATTTACAAGCATGAAGCTTTCAGCCAATTGATAAAGCCCCCCTCCAGGCCATACTTGCCAAGAAGCAGCCATAGGTATTCATGATTGACCCGGTCAAAATCTTTGGCCTGATCCAATGCCAGCAAGAACTTTGCTCAGCCTGCAGCCCTGCAGGGCCTCCCGGACAGCTAACACCACTGAAAAAATGCTTCTACCCTGAACTGAACAGTGCTGATGGCAAGAAAGTAAATTGTCCGCAACAGATGATAAACGCCAGAAAAGTATCTTTGCCAGTATCTTGCTATCAACATTGAGAAGGCTAATGGGCCACCAATTCTCAATTCTGGAAGAATCTTTACCCTTTGATAGAAGAATCACTGCAGATTGTCGCATGGAGAGAGAGAGCGAACCCTCTCTTAGACAGCCATTAAAAACCTCCACCAAATATGGGGCCAGAGTAACCTTAAAGTGCTTATAAAACTCGGCTGTCATTAGAGTGTATGCTCCTTTAGTGCAGAGACTGATATGACTTGTACAGTGTTCTCTATACAGCGCTGCAATATGTGTCAGAGCAAAATATAATATTAATAAAATTGTTTGACTGTAGTGGGACATTAGAGTGTAATGGCTAGTTTAGTGCTGGGACATAGTATGGAAGATGAGACTGCGTGTACCCCAGACAAGTTTGTTAGGTTGGAGGGGACATAGGTAGCTTTTGGCAATGTTGGGAAATGTTGAGCATATCACTTACATATTTCGGATCATTCTTGTTGGTCAGCAGAATCTGGAGGCGGGAGGGCCAGTCGTGGCGTCTTTGCAGTAGCCCACTTACAAGCGCCTCCCGGCACAGGTAGCACTCCCAGGGGTCTGTTTCTTTGGCTGCCTGGGCAGACCCCCTCTCCCTCAAACAAATCCACACACTCTAAACAGAAACGCCTGTGGAAAGGGAGAGCAGTAGGTCTATATGCTATGTATATAATAAAAGAGTGAGCGCTAATCCAAAAAAGCAGCTAAGCACTCTAAGCAACCAATAAATACTTAAACAGAGTAATATCAACAAAAGTGCAGCGCTAGATAATAAAGTCTGAAAAAAAGTCCACTAAAGTCTAATTCATAAAAACGTGCCAGATGACAAGTAGAAATCAATGGTGGCGATCCATGAAGAAAAGCAGAAATGCGCACTCACCAGAAGACAGATATAAGAAAGCGGTATGCATCAAAGCCCATGGATCCTCAATCAAGGAGAGAACTGGTCTGGTCAAAATGGGTTGATCTTCCCTCAAGGATGCAGAGCTTATCCAAAACAGATCCAGGTAGCCAGAGGTCTGGTCAAAATGGGTTGATCTTCCCTCAAGAATCATAGAATCAATTACTTTATTAAGGACAATAATATCAACGCACATCATCAGAGGTATGGAACCAGGCTGGTTCCATACCTCTGATGATGTGCGTGTGAACGTAACACGTAAGGAGGAGCCTGGACGTCGAGACGCTACACCGCCGGAGCCCCGTGGAGGCCTGGCAGCCATTATTTCATCTAGGGTTAGTTCAACCTTTACACCTGGATGACACATGTTTTACAAAGTTGATATTATTGTCCTTAATAAAGTAATTGATTCTATGAATACTACACTATGAGCGTCCTTCCCTGACTCCCTGAGAGGAATACCTTTTTGAAGAGTCCTCTACTGAGAATTTAGGCCTTTACCAAGAGGAGTAAGACCCCCTATAAGCAGATGACCCCTTCCGTCCATCCAGCTGTAGGAGACCTCTGGCTACCTGGATCTGTTTTGGATAAGCTCTGCATCCTTGAGGGAAGATCAACCCATTTTGACCAGACCAGTTCTCTCCTTGATTGAGGATCCATGGGCTTTGATGCATACCGCTTACTTATATCTGTCTTCTGGTAGGTCTATATGCTAGCCAACATTATTTATGACAGCATAAAAGCTAATTACAATATACATCAGATAATATACACATTACTCAGAGTGTTATCAGTCTTCCTCAATACTGTGATCTTCAGTCTGGAAACATGTTCAACGTTGGTTGGACTATATTCGGGGGACTGTAGATACATGGAGTTCTGTATCTCCTTGAATATCGTAGACAGCTCTAGATACAGCAATTCTCTGAAGAAAAACTCCAGGCAACAAGTATTATATAAACTATTCTGAATGGGAACAAGGGACCCATCAAGATGGTGTGTAAGCAAGTGATTCCAAAGGATTAAAGTTCTTTTCTACTGCCAAAAAAAGAATAAAAGAGGGCACACTCTCCTCGTGCATTACCGTGATAAAAAGGAAATTTATTGTATTGAAAATTTTCCACATAGAGGGCGTGAGGTGGGGTCTTCCGTACCATTTGGTCCCCTATTTATAGACCAACCTGGGACTGTTAATTGTGGCTCTCTCTGTTTTTACACCCATTGGTTTGTGAGTATCTATTTGTTTCAATACAATAAATTTCCTTTTCATCACGGTAATGCATGAGGAAAGTGTGCCCTCTTATATTCTTTCTTTGCTAGCTCCCTCTTTTTGGAGGGCTGCACCTTAGTAAGTGACGTTATCCGTGATCCTGTGTCGCATGAAGATTTGAGTGCTGGCTTTTTGAATATATTTCTTTTTTCCTTTTCTGCTGTGCTGAGTCTTGTTCTGCAGTTATCTGAGTCAACTGTGTTGTTTTTCAACTAAACTTTTACATTGTAGATGTGTGTCTTTAGGTTGGCCTCCTACATTGGTGGATCTGAGAGGAAGGGGTTAACATGGCTGGCCAGTTTTTCACACCATTTTTCTGAGATTCACCACCCACTGCAGGTCATACCATATAGATGGAGGTTCTTCAATGCCTCTGGGGGTCTGTTGGTGGAAACACTGCCAACTCTGTCAGTCTGTGCCCCCATCTGGGGTCCCAGTCAGGGCTCCCTATGGGGTTAGGAACCTGAGAACTTTATGGACTCTTAGCTACCAGTCATGGATTTATTATCTTTTTTGGATTACAGCCAATCATGGATTTAAAGGATTAGTTGCTACCTCTGGGGGTTTATTGCCTAAATGGACTCTTGCCTCTAAAGGACTGTTATATAGACTTTGCTGCTAACTCAGGTATGACTACCTCATAGGCACTAAGGCTGGCCATACACTATACAATTTTCTGTCCAATTTCTGCCCAATTTCCTTTAGATTTACCTTCAACTATGTAGTGCAAGGGCCTGCCTACTTGGATACAACTGAAAATGTTGTAAAGGTTCGACCTCATATTATATGGGTTTTGGTAAATCTAAAGCAAAATTCTCAAAAAAATTGTATAATGTATGGCCAGCCTTAGAGAGAATTTTGTACAGAAATTTATGTGAAGTTGTCATAGAAGAACTGTTCCTGTATGTTTATGCACTACTTCAGTGAAGACTTTCGGTGTTCCTTTAAATGCCTGGTCTGACATTTCCCAAAGGGTTGCATACCTGACATATCTACATCAAGGGGACTTTAAGTTAGAGTAGATAAGGTGCATTTAGTCCATCATGAGGTATGCTATCTAGTGTAGGCTATATTGCCATTGCTAGGGACAACCGTATTTGTATCTTCTGGTAAAGGCAGCCAACCAGCCAGGAAATGGGTGACTTGGCTAGGGTCCTGGCTCCTCTGGTAGTGAAGGGTTGTTGTGCTTAACCCCTTCATTAGCAACCGGTTCCCCACATACTGTGACCTACCTTACAGCACAGAGTACCTAGGGACCTAGTCTGGGAGTCACAGGAGAGTTATGTAGAGAGGCCCCTGGGAGAGAGAGCAAGCATGTAGGTATGAAGTAAAGAGCATTTCCTGTTTCCAGTAGCAACTGTCAGACATGCCACTGGAAGTGACGTGACTGTGCTGGTGGAAACTGGAAACTGGGACCGGTCCCTAAATGCTGTACACCTGGGAAGTGGTGTTCTCTAACTGTAGTGGTGTCTAGAGTTATCACTGTTAACAGTACAAGTTGGCTACGGTTTGCTGGAGGGTTAACTGGGTTAGTTTCTGCTCGCTTCTGATTCTGGAGGTGTGCTTTAATGTTGATTTTCCATGACCACAAACTCTTACCTACTGTTTAGGCATTAGCAAATGTAGTTTCTAGCGTCCCCAGTACAGAGTCTTAAGCCCTATCCACAACTGGATAGACACAATGGACAGGTAATGAATGATCCAACTTTTCAGCAATCTAATATTGCTTGTGACAATTACTGAAAGGGAAGACCTATGTGAAGATTTCATTATTCTATAATATTATCATGAATTGTCATGAATTATCCTGCAAGTTGCTGAATGCCCTTACCTCCAACAGTAGTGATTACTGCACATGAGAATCTCTTTCCCGGAGCAGCAGATGGTGCAGTAACACTGCCGACCTTCCTCGTCCATCTGATAGCCCCAACTCAAGAACCACTCCTATGGTGGAGAGGGAGAGACAGAGATGTTGGACAGAGTGTGGGGAAGAGTATGGGTGAGGAGTGAGAGAGAAATGGCAAACAGAGGAGAAAGAGAAAAGAGAGAGATGGGAGAGTAGAAAAGAGAAGGGGAGTAAGAGGAGGTTCAGGGAGAGAAGGGGGGAGAGAGGGATGGAGTGAGAAGGAGAGAGAAAAGAATGTAGAAAGAGTAAGAAGAAAATGAGAAACGAAAGACAGAATTTGAACGAGAGATAGAAGAAAGATAAGAGGGTGAAGGAGAAAGGTAAGGCAGCAGAGATTGAGAAAGAGATGAGGCGTTTTTGTTTGATTTGCAAAATGCACCTTGGAGATCCTCAGAAATTTAGCAAATTACTAAAAACAGGATTTTTGTTAGGCGTAACATCTGATTCCTGGAGTACACTATAGGTCACAGGCGCTTTAATCATCACCTCTGGGTTATATGTAAATTATTGAACACTGGGAAAAAAAAAGTAAAAGAAGCTGCAAGGGCATCCCCTTATTTAATGCTTCCCACTCCCAACTAGCCTCAGATTTGTAGCAAGTGTGGCAGTTCTGGTCACTCTCACTGTGAGAATCAAGGTTATACCCCAGGATTCTCAACTAAACAGGTTGAGGGGCTCCAGAGGTTTTACTTAATGCAGAGGAAACTGGCTGTTCCTCATTTGTTCGTAAAATCCATTTTGGGATCTGGAACCTGGAGATTTCAAAGTGATCTGGGAGGGATGAAATCTCCAATCCTGGGTCCATGTTTTCTGAACCCCCAGAACACTAATTGTATAGGTGTGTATAGGGCTTTAAATAATAACCTGACTATGGTTCTAGGCTCCATCCACAGCAGACAGAAGGTCATTGCCCAGGAGTCAGGAGAGCTCCACCTAGGAGAGGTGGGAGCCAGAGCAGCAAGGGACTGCTAGCTGTGTGCAAAACAGCCATTTAGGAAAAAGTCTGCAGGAGACAGCTGTGAGCCTGAAGTGGAAGGCCAGAGCAGCAGAATTGTGTGTACAAGCCAGGAGGCTAAATATCTGTGTTTTTGAAAAGTGAAATGCTGAAACCCCTTTGAGGGAAATTTATGGAACTTTCTTTTAAATACAATTGGGCAAAAATGGCCCTTAAAAAGAAGAAAGTTAATGGCTGTGTGCATTAAAAGCTCTACGCTTGATGCTAGTTCTCACATAAGCAATAGGAAGATCATATAAACAGGGGAAAGGGTCCTGTGTCCTGCACTGTAGTCCAAGAAACACATTTTACTGAAGTCAAAAAACTTATTTTCCTAGTTGGCAACACAGCAACGAAACCAACAGATCCACAAAAAGGGTCACGGGGACTAGACGGACTCAAAGAGCAGCTTGTTGCACCTTACACAATTGCATCAGAAGAGCCCTGAACATCCACCTGGCAGAACTTAAATGTGTGAACAGAAGACCAGGTTGCAGCTCTGTAAATCGGAGCACCAAAAGATCTGGTAGAGTGTGCTTAAGCAGGGAATGAAGGAACCCTATCCTTTAGACCATTGGCTCTAATGATAAATTGTCTGATCCATATAGTAATGTTGGAGCGAGAGGTAAGACCATTATGGGAAAGGCAGAGAGTAAATCTGATTTCGTAAAACCATCAGTATCTGAAAGGTAAACTCTCAAAGCATGTACTTCATCCAAAAATTTCCAAAGGATGTTTCAGAGCAGGACATAAGGAAGGAAGTCAAAGACCACCTTCAGTAAACCTTAGACCTCAAAACAACTTTGCCCTTGTGCAACACTAACAAAGGTTCCTTACAGGATAAGGCAGCTGATTTTCAAAAGCCTGAGATAGTTCAATGGCCAAGTCTGTGTGTCTCAAACAGCCAGAATGTTGAGTTGCAAAGGTTTAGAGTAAAACTGGATGATATGGGTCTAGTGGTTACTTTGGGGTGAGGATCCAACTGAAGTTTTGCAGAGTCTGTACTGTCTGATGGATGTTGGCTGACAGGGACAGGAGGACTTCAATAGGTGATTACCCAGGTACCCACAATATGAATCCCTTGAGAGAGTGGCAGAGACAAAACCTGGAAGTCCTAGGAGGTTGTGGACAGGCCAAAAGGGAAGGGTGACAAACTGGTAATGCTGATTGCCTACAGCAAAATGCAGATATCCCTGGTGAGGTGGAAAGATGAGAATGCACAGATAAGAATCCTGTCTCGTTATAAAAGCTCACAGAAGAAGGAAAGCAGTGATCAACCTGGCATTTTCCATGCAAAACTTTTGAACCCACAAGAACAAGTTGAGAGTGTTCTGGACCAGAATGGGCAAAACTTTGAGAACCATAAAAAGGGTCAAACAGAAAACCTTGAAAAAACTCTTGTGTCGGCACAGGGGTATTGGCCTCTTAAGACAGGAGTTGCTGGACAGCAGCAAGCCAATCCGCACATGATGACAGGACACAAGTTTGAAGGCAAAATGAAGGGAGGCAGAAAAGTACAAAACCCCAATTTGTAGCTTCTAAAACCAACACTCTGGAACCAGGTATCTAAGATTTACTAGACATCAGACATCTCCCCACTATGAGAAGTGGGGGCTTCCCATCAGTGTAAAGAAGTCTTTGCAACAGCCTTGGAAGGCCATGTTTTCTTACAAAAGTATGTTCTTGTTCTAGACTTGATGTTGGAAGATTGAGAGGGATGACAGGAACCCTTCTTAACCTCCAATATAGAAGATCTACTAGCAGTGAAACAAGCCTTTTTCTGGGGAGGAGAGGGAGACAGAGAGTGCTTTTATCCCATGTGATTTCCTTAAGGAAACAGCAAACAGGCATTCTCCTTCAAAGGACAACTGCCCAAGGTGCTTCTTGCATAGGCGTTCAGCTGACCCACATTTGAGTGAGAAAATCTTGAAATGTGGATAAAAAGAAGACCTCATCCTGGAGACTTTTCAAAGTTTATCTGCAACACAGTAGTATAAAGCTCTAGCTGAAAAGTCTGACTGTGGACAGAGACATCCATAAGGATGAAACCAAGATATCAGGTTATATGCTTAGTCCAAACACCAATGGTCTGACAGACTGCCATATACACAACCTTGGATTGCATGGCAGGACTTGCCAATGAAACAAGAGCTTTAAAGAGCACCTCTAACCTCTTATCAACAGGTCTTTAAGCACAGGATTATCTTCCACAGGGGTTGTGAGGATCTGGATAAAGCAAAAAATGGCAGGATTTACCACAGGAAGAAACATTTGCTAAAGAAACTTTTTTTTAATTTGAATGTTATTAGGCAAAAAATTTTAAAGGAGTAAAAATAGTTCCATCAGTTGTCATACTGAGAAGGTGTCAGCTGGTTTGGGGAATGTAAAATTCTCCATACAGTATCCCTTCGCATGAGCAGACTCTGCCTGCTCTAATGCTAAAAAAAATGCACACAGCATCAATAAGCATAGCAATGGTCTGCTTTAGTTTGGGATAAATCTGTAGCAGATGTGTCAGGAATGGGCTCACCTGCCGTGTGGGCTGCAGTACCAGTGCTTGCCAGCGGGTGTGTCAGGAATGGGCTCACCTGCCATGTGGGCTGCAGTACCGGGGCAATGCAGCAGGTGCTTTCAGCAGCCAGGATCTCACTCCTGCAATCAAGCCATCACCTGAGGCTGATTTGCAATAGGTATATTTAAGCAGCACCAGGCCTGCAATCAGTGCCTTGGTGTTGTCCCATGAGCCCCTGTATTTTGTGCTTGTGTTCCTGATTGTCCTGTACTCCTGATTGCCTTGTTGCTGAACCAGCCTGATCCTGATACTGCTGTCCTCTCCTGCTCTGACCCCTGGCTGATTCTGACCTTTCTCTGCCTGCTCCCATTGCCTGACCTCCTGTTACCGAACCCGCCCTGTGACCTGTTATTCTTTGCCTGCTGCTCTGTACTGTCTGCTCCGCTGTTACCAACCCTGCCTGTCTGACCACGCATACCTCT